CATTTAGTTCTTAAAGGGGTAGCTCTGCTAGTTAACTTTCTCCTGCATCATTTCCCAGAATGCAGTACCTATGTGTGTCAAGATCCAAGTGCTTTAGCCTGGCACACAAGGTCCTTCATGTCGTGGCCGCAACATTCCTTTCCAGCCTCGTCTCCCACCGCATCTCTCCATGTGCCCTGCCCCTGGCCTCAGCAGATTAGTCACTTTCCCGAAGAACAGCCTGAACTCCTCCTTAAGGCGCTCAGTACATCGTGTTCCCAGGGCCTATTTTCTTCCTCCTCATACATGGACATCCTCTTGGGTGTTCAGGCTCGGTTCAGAAGTCATCCGCAGAGCCCTTCTAGGCCCTCAGAGCAGCGTTGCGTGCCCGTGTGCTCTGCACACTTTTCATTGTCCCCGCAGAGCCTGTGAGCTCTTGGAGAGCACCGGGCCGGCCCGACTCAGCACCTACAACTGTGGGGGCTGCACACAGGAGGTGTGCAAATGTCTGTGTTGAGCACCTGCGAATGCAGGGCGCAGGACACCGTGTCAGCTAACAGTTGCGCCAGAGGGGTGTTCAGAAGCTCATGCTTGCGTTACCCACGGCTCGTTTGATCATGTGCCCAGCCGTCGGAGTTCTCTTTGTGAACTGGCCTGCTATCAGCTCACTGCTAACCTTTCTCAGGGCCTGCTTCCCACATACCCAGCGAGGTCTGCTTCGTGCCAGGGCTCTGAGCTGCTTCCTTCACTTAAGCACATAGGGAGGATTCTGCTTCTAACGTGAACATATTTGATTCTGAAAGTTCAAGCTTTGTTTTGTGTTCCCGAGTTCCTTAAATGGTGAAAATACTGGAGGGATTTTTTTAAGGATATTTCTGCCTCTAGCCGAATAGCGGTCCGTGGTACAGTTGTAACTGCTAAGTAGGAAGACCAGGGTTGTGGGGCTTGATTTGGAAGACTTGGGTTCAAGTCTTGGCTTTACCATTATCAGCCCCAGAACTTTGGGCCATTGCCTGACCTCTCTGACCCTCACTTTCCTCAGTGGGCGATTGGAAAATTCTCCTTATAGGTTGGTGGGAAGCTTAAATGAGGTTTTGGACATTAAATGGGGACTTTTATTAGTTTTTGATTCGTAAATTGGACTTGAAGGGCTTTTGTGAAATTAAAATTTTTCTTATTTGGTTATAGTCGACACACAATGTTACATTAGATTCAGGTATGCATTGTAGTGGTTCAGCATCTTTATATGTTGTACTGTGCTCACCGTAAGTGTAGCTGCCATCAGCCATCTTACGTCGCTGTTATAGTATCATTAACTATATTCCCTATGCTCTGCCTTTTATTCTGTGCCTTATTCATTCCATCACTGGAAGCCTGCATTCCTACCCTCTTTTACCCATTTTGCCCATTGCCGCACCCCCTCCCCTCTGACAACTATCAAGTTTGTTCTCTGTATTTTAGGTTTTATTGGAGGATATTTATTTATTACATGTTTGTTTATTTTGAGAGAGAGCAGAGAACACATGTGCGCACGGTGAGCCGGGGAAGGGCAGAGGGAAGGGGGGAGAGAATCCTAAGCAAGCCTCACACTCAGCATGGGGCCCGATGTGGGCTCCATCTCGTGTTTGTGAGCTCATGACCTGAGCCAAAATCAAGAGTTGGGCGCTTAACCGACTGAGCCACCCGTGTCAGAGGCCATTTTAAAATAGCACTTCCAAAAAGTTTGCTTTTGAAGGAAATTACTTGGGTATGTATGTTTTCATACACACTTGTTTTATTTTATTTTACCTTATTTTTTTCAATGTTTTATTTATTTTTGAGAGAGAGACAGCATGAGCAGGGGAGGGTCAGAGAGAGAGGGAGACATGGAATCTGAAACAGGCTCCAGGCTCTGAGCTAGCTGTTAGCACAGAGCCCGATGCGGGGCTCGAACCCATGAATCGTGAGATCATGACCTAAGCCGAAGTCGGACCCTTAACTAACTGAGCCACCCAGGCGCCCCTCTTATTTTATTTTTTTGAATGACAAATGAATTTACATAGAGCATCTAACACTCTTAGGGAACATACATAGCTTGTAAGACCCCATTATAGTCCAAAAGAAATTAGAACCACAGAATCTTAAGCTTTGAGAAATTATAGAAACCTTAGAAGACAGGGGGCTGACCATTAATGCATGATGCATGTGGGCTCTGTGCCGTCCATGCTGGGATTGGAATCCCAGGGCATGATTGCATAGACCCTGATGAATAGGTGGTATTAGCCCTGTTTTGCAGACAGGGAAACTTGAGCTCAGGGAGGTTAGGTAATTGACACAAATCCTCTATCAAAGCATTCTGCTTCATCTTGTACTCATGGTGGCTTCTAAAAATCCTTTCCCTTTGCAGACGTGGTGGGACCTGCCTTTGTTTGGTGGATCCTTTACCCTCTCATGGCAGGAGCAGCCCCCCTTCCCAGGCCAGGTACGGCAGTGCAGATCGGTCGTGTTGATGTCCCATAACTTGTTTAATTAATCTGGAAGAGTGTCTTTCCTTTTCCTGCCAAGAGTCTGCTCATTTCGAGCTCCTTTGACCACTCATTCATCAGCCTTTCCCTGTTCTCCCTTTTGGAGAGGGGATCTGCCATTGCCCATCTCCAGTTTGGAGGTCAGGGGTGTGTTTGAAGGGACTTCATCTTTCCTTTTAAAAAATTAACAGGTGGAAAGTACAATTCATTGAGTATTGCCCATCACGTCCTACATATGTGAGGTGGTGAGAAGAGGCAGCACAAGGAATCAGGAGTCATGGCTGTCATCCTGAGTCTGTCACTGACCATGCAGGGGACTCTGTACCAAGCCCTCCTCTCCCTGTCGGGCCCTCAGCATCTTCACCTGTAAAGAGCTGAGGGCATTACGTGGTGACTGCGAAGATTTTAAAATCCTGCATGTTTCGTGGTGTCAGAACCATCCATTTCTGCTGAGCTGCAAGATCCTGCAGCTGTTTCTCTGATGCTTTTCAATCTTTAGATTTAATCTATTCAACAATGTATAATTTTTTAAAGAGAAGCTTTTATAGACACTTCTGAAATATCAGGGTTGGGGGGGCGATAAATGGATGTTAAAAAATAGAAAACAACCAATTAAATAGTATATAGCATGTAATTCTCCTTGGAAACTTACCACGAAATTGAGGAGCACTTTAACAACTGGTAATTTAAATTGCATTTGAACTCTGCTAATGGTTTGTTTGCATGGGAACTTCAATCATTTCACAGTGGTTCTTTAGCAGAGCTGCTAGTTCTCTTTATGGAAAAGAAGGAAAAAAATTATTGAAAGAGAAGTTGGCTATGGAAAAGGAGACCACTGTCGTTTGTGTGGAGGGGGAAGCTGTCAAGAGTGGGGGAGATTGCCCCGGGGGCCAGGGTGGAGAGCCTCACCTTTCAGTTTGGAGATCTGGGAAGTCTGGTGCCCTCCGCTGCTGTTGTAGAAACCGTTCTGATTTATATCTCCCTCTGCAAGGAGAAGCTTCGGTTTCCTGGGGCTTGGGTGGGGTGGGGGTGGGGGTGATATCTGTCTCGTGTTTTCTCTGAGTCTGCACTGGCCATGGGTGAAGTTTGCCTCTGCGCGCTCCATTCCTCAGCAAGTCTGAAATGATGCCTTTCTCATTTCAGTGGAATGGCATCGATAATTCTAATGTCTTGGAAGACCCCTAGGTCTCAGGAAACTCCTTGCCTTGCTGGGCTTATCCAGATTATGTGCCATTTTCCGGACTTAATTTCTTTCTGCCGTTGGGCTATACTGAGAACGTCTGCAGCAGGTGTTCTAGCAAGCTTCTAGAGACTTGGATGTGGAAGTCCTGGTTTTGACCCAATGCTGATTGTGTGACAAAGGGCAAGTCCCTCTGCCCAGTGAGTTTTGGTATCCTCCTCTGTCAAAGTGGCTTAAATTGGGTCCATGGCACAAGCTCTGGACTGGAACCTTGGACTGTCTGCCTCTAACTGTGCTTCCTAGAGGGGCCACCTCCCGACTCTGCCCCCAGCTTCTCCTGCTGTCAGTTGAAACAGTTGAAGTGGGTCATTTTTAAGGTCCCTCCTAACTTGAGCTTCTGTGAATATTTGAAGCCTGAAGGAGATGATATACACAAATCATTTTCATAGATGGTTAAATAGTGTGTAAAATGTCAACAATGAAAACGCAAGTAGTGGCTTTTCTGGTATGTGGATTCCTCCTGCGTATACAAAGCACATATTTTGTAACAGCCAACTGCCTTGGAATATTTGTCTGTTGGAACATGTATCATATACTCCTTAGCAAAATAGTGCTAGGTCTTCATGAAATAAAACCTGTCATGAGGACTTACCTGGGAGTGTCAAGATTGTCCAGCTCTCTGCTGCTCACTCACTGGCTGTCATTTTTCAGACAAGGAAATTCAGGTTCAGAGGGTTCACAGAGTCCTGTAGTTTGATGTTTGTCCAAACTCATACATTTTCTTCTATTTTTATTTGTTCAGATTTTGCTATTATTTTTTTTTCTCAGCTACAGTGTGAATATCTGGGGCGCCTGGGCAGCTAAGTCAGTTAAGCATCCAACTCTTGGTTTCGGCTCAGGTTGTGATCTCACGGTTCATGGGTTCTAGCCCAGCGTCAGGCTCCATGCTGACAATGTGGAGCTTGCTTGGATTCTCTTTCCCTCCTTCCCTCTCTGCTCCTCTCTCTCTCAAATAAAAAAATAAACTTTAAATAAAAAAGTGAATATCAAACTATTGATCTCTTTCCTTTCTGAGATTATGATGAGGCTGTTTTCTCAGGAGGGCTGGGTTGCCTACAATCTCTCTTCAGTGTTACTGAGGCGAATGAGTCCCATAGAGATGCCTGGAGCCGACTAGGGGGCTTAGCAGATATAGAGGGAAGCCACCGCATTTTGGGGGCTTCAAGCCTGGCATCATTCCTAGTATGGCTAGCCAGTGAGTTCATAAAACTGGAAAGTTCTAAAGCTGGTAAGATCCTAGAGATTTGTAAGCAACCCCAGTCTCCCTTTTCCCTCAGGTGAGGACATTGAGGCTCAGAAATAGAACCGAAGACAGAACCCAGTCACCTGCTTCTCATCTGAGGACTTTGCTCATTGTTCTACTGGACACTCATCGGAGGGAAGCCATTTCTCCTCAATTGGTGAGTCCTATGGAGAAGGGAAGACATTCTTCTTTTATAATCAATGTTCATGTTTTAATGAGTTTATAAAATCCAGGGTTTCCTTTTAAAGCACAGACATGGATAGCTGGGATGAAATAAGAACTAGAAATATGTTCTTTCTTTTTATCTTGAGTTGCTTTTATTGGCAATGGACAAAATAGAACAATGCTAATAAAATGTGCGACAAAGCAGAGGCAGGACTCAGCTCTTGGATGGAGGCATGAAGAGAAATTGGAAGAAGCGTTTGGAGTAATGATGATTTCGGATTGCCAATGATTGTATTGCTTCCTTCCTCCTTTCGCATGGAGGAAAGCATTCTTGAAATGGAAAGACCAAAATGAAAATATCAATGGACGATGTTGTGGGCATTTGCGGGGAAAGAAAAGTCGGATTAGTGAGTGATTTTTGTTTACCCCTGTGCAGGCTGCTGCTTCTTCTGTGATCTCATTTTATTTTTCACAAAAACCCTTTGAGGTAAGGGACGCTAGATGTGCTCAGGCAAAGGGTGTGAACCTCTGTGTTAGAGGGCCCGCTAGAACTCCAGAGGAATGTGAGTCGGAATCCTGTTCCACACTCAGAAAGGGGAAGGGCAAACAGGTAAGAGAAGCTTTCCGTTGTGTTTTGGAACACTTCTGAGTTCAGTGGGCAGGACGGAACATCATGTTCTAGAAGATAGGAGTGGTGAAAAGAATAATGGTGTGGGCTCCCCTGGGCTGGGCAGAGATCTGAGGAAAACTACTGGAGAATTCTGGGAAAAGCGTCCATTTAGAACTTGAAATCTGTAGTCTCCGTCTCAGGGACCAGTCCCTGTGTGTCCTGAGCACTGGCTTTATGCTGAGCAATATGCCTTGCTGTGGTTACGGTATAGTGTTCCAAAACAGAGCAGATGCTATAGTGATTGAGACAACCTAACTTCATTTAAAAGTGTAACTGAGTCTATAGTTACATATTGTCACCTTTTCTTAATCCACAGCGCCTCAAAAGAACAACTGGCCTTCTCTGTGCCAATAGATCTGCATGCGATAAAAGGCTGGCATCCGCTCCTTTGCCCCTTAAATACTTCGGCTTGTTAAAATTTCACACATGGTCTTGAATGTTTTGACCCAGGCATACACGCGACGCATCAACGGTGAATCTTTGTTGCCTGCTGTACTTCCCGAGTTTTTTTCAGTGTTTAAAGTTACTTGTGATTAATATGCAGAGTTTTACTTAGATTAAAAACAGACAAAAGCACCCAGTGTGTAATGGCAGAATGGGAGAGAGCACCTAAACAGGAGGAAGCTGGAAGACACTCACAAGTGTTGTCCGTTCTGCAATGCCAGTGGAGTCTTGGACCGTGTTAAATAGAGTACGCCCTCTAGAACCTGGTGGGTGGGGGATCTCGCTGGAAACCGGCAAGTCCCAGGTAAGATGGGCTTCGGGACCAGTTTGAAAAGGACTAAGCTCTGTTTCCTAGAGTGCTCCTTGCTCTGCCTTCTCTGGGTTGGCTTCCATCTTGGATGTTTCGGCCTGTGGCCATGAGATGGCTGTGTGCTGCATCCCGGGCCCTATGCCTCCTATGCCCGTTGTGGGGAGAGAGCCTTGTTTGCCATGTCCCCACGTCCCTGGGTTACTGCGTGTTCCCACGCAGTCACGGAGGCCAAGACGATGAGATTGTGCTAACTGGCATGTGCACTGGGCCCTCCTCTGGTACCGAGTCTGGAGATGGTCCTCCCCCCGCCCCCAAATCCCATGGGAGCTGCACAGTGGAGAAGAGTGGTCTCTCAGAGAATATCTGGGTGCTGCTTGGGGGTGGCGAGAGGTCTAGGGCTGTTCGGTGACCGTGAACTTTCTTCCTACCCTCCTATCAGAGCTCCCTTAGGTTGTCAGATGGTAGTTCTTGCTTCATCTTCTGAAAGGGACATTAGCCAGCTGGACTGTCTACACAGGAACACTGTGAGGCCGGGAAATGATGTCCAACCAGGAACTGTTACAGGAATGAGACTCCACTGGAGGGGGCAGAGGGCACTCATGATGATGGCCTTTAACAGTATAAAAGCCGGTGGGAAGAGGGATGGCATCTCTTGTTCCCAAGTGCGTCTTGGGTCTGGTGAGAACTCTATCACATAGTAGGTGCACAGTGCATTTTCATGGATAGAGAGAATGAATCCAAAGGTGGTAAGTGTCCCTTTCTCCACGGGCGTCCCATCACACACGGGCCATTCTCTGTTGGAGGGTTTTAGGAGATCTAGCGCAGATGAGGCTGGCTACGTGGCTTTATGAAGACGAAACAAGGGACTGGCAGAATGAGTCTTTCGGGACCAGTATGGCTTAAGAAGTTTGTAAGCGCATAAAAAGGCAGTACGTGCAGCAGAATGGGGTATTGGAAGGTCTGTCAGTTATGAGATGTGCACCCCCAGGAAAATGACATTGCCCCTGCGTTCATTTCCCTGATCTGGGAATGAGGAATGATACTCATTGCTCTGCCTGCCTCTCAGGTTTGCTTAGAGCAGATGGGTTGATAGAGGCCAACCTGTTTTGCGGACTGGGAAGTGTGGCCCGTACGTGGTAGAATATTATAGTTGTTGTCTTCTTAATTGAATGACTCATCTTGAATATAAAGAAAAATCAGACAGTGTGATGTGCAGTTCTCAGCACCATGACTACTACATAGTATATGCTCAGTGTATGTCCTTCCTCCCAACCCAGCAGCTCCGCCGTCCCCAGGATTGGATGGGCGCTAATTTGTCCTCAGTCTTGGAAACTTGCTGAATGGTAATGGTTGAAGTTGAAATGCCATTGTGTCCTGTTATTACTTTTCATATTTGATTTTGCTCTAGGTAGCAGGAAGTGAAAGGAGGTGGACTTTGAGAGACTGAAGACATCTCCATGCTTGAGAAATCTGGAAGCTACAGTCTAGCTGTTCAGCTCTTGCTCTGTTTGATTAGATGATCACACCTCTCTCTAGGCATGACTGGCCCAGTGGGAGTCCGGAAGGAAATTATTTTCCTCTGTTGATATTAGTGTACACTTGTTGACGGTAGCCAAAGGGCTTTCGTTTTTAATATTTCCTTTTTGGTCCTTAGAAGGATCAGGTATTAGTCTATGCCGGAAACAAAGCAACAGTCACTTCCGCCAGAGGCGAATGTCTTGGCCCCCTACAGTTACTCGGTCAGGTGGTTTCTGGGCATGTGTGACCGTCTGCTGAGCCAGCTTTCATGGCTTTTTATGTTATTGCTTCAGAAACACAAAAGGACTTGCGAGGTCTGAGCAGGATCCCATGTAGCCACCTGGGGCTCCGTGGCTGTTCTTGTAACCCAGGGATGCCGTGTAGGAGATGTTGGTTGTCCATAAAAAGAAAAGGTAGGGCTGTCTCTGTCTCTTTGGTTTCCTTCCTCCTAATTCCATAGTCTTCTACTTCATGACCTCTGCACAGCGGGAGATACCTCTGTTCTATGTTGGATGGGGCCCTAGGAGGTCAGAGGAATTCTCAGGTTCTCCTGCATGGATTCCTGTGCAGTAGAAGACGACTGATGCCTCATGGATAGGAAGCCTCACGAGTCCTTTGTAGATTGCTGCTGAATATCTCCCCCCACTTCGCATAGTGTGTGCTTGTTCTCTGCCCTAATCCATTGTTTGTCTGGAAGTTCATAAACCTCTGGATCTTTAGGACACCACAGTGAATTAGGCACAGTCCTCGACCTTGAGAAGCTTATATTCAAGTTGAAGAGAAAGGCCGACACATAAGAAATACACATAGAAAGAAAGGTATTATTTACAGCATGCATTTATTAATCACCAGATCTGTTTAAGGCTACAAAGTAGGTGCTTGGAAGGTGGAGGTCCATTATAGCCTCAGTTCTCGTGGGCTTATGTGAAAGTTTGGGAGAGTGGAAAGAAGGGGGAAGGTTGAGATAAATTCCCAGGAGGAGGTGATCTGATCTCAAAACCAAGGCCAGACTGCTGGCAGGGTGGGCCGGTGGACATCATTTGGTCACTAGGGCTGGGCAGGTTCTGAGGGTAGATGTAAGTGACAGCAGAATGTGGCTGGACAGGTAAGGTGTCTGTCATATCCCTTGTGTGGTTCAATCTCCAGTTTATTTCCCTTTCACATGCCACAGCCAAAAGTGTCATGCCGACTTTGAGTTGCACTGACATTATTTCCGTGGTCCTCTCTGTGTGGCCAGAGCATGCCTGAGTATGTGTCACCAAGTGGGAACGCATCTCTACATCCAGGGGGAGGGCCAAGGGTTTCTCCAGAGAGTTCCTGAGAAATAATCTCTTCTGGTCTCCTCCTTGGGTCTCATGAAAAATGGTGGAGTTGCTAGGGATCAGGACTGGGCCTCTCATATGTGGCTGCTCTATTTATTATCTATTGGTGCATAAAGACCCCACACTTAGTGCTTAAAACGAAGGACATTTATTATCTTGTACTCGCTTTGATTTGGAAATTGGGAGCAGCTTAGATGGGCGGTTCAAGGCCTCTCCTGAGGCTTCAGTCTGGGTGTCTGCTGGCTTGCAGTTTCATCTGAAGGCTCAGCTGGGGAGGATTGGCTCCCAAGCTCGCTCACATGATCACTGGCAGGCTTCAGGTCCTTGCGGGTTGTTGGACTGAGGGCCTCAGTTCCTTGCTGACTGTTGGCTGGAGGGTGCCTTCAGTTGTTTGCCATGAGAGACTCACCATAGGGTAGCTCACAGCGTGGCAGCTGCCTTCCCTTCGAGCAAGTGAGTGAGAGAGAATCCCCTGGATGCAGGCAGCCACAGCCTTTCTGCAGCCTCCTTCTGCAAGTGACACACATTCCCTCTGCCTCATTCTGTTTGCTCGAAACAAGCACTAGATCCAGCCCACACTCAAAGGGAGGGATTGCACAAGGGCATCAAGACCCAGAGATGGAGTTCTAGGAGGCCCTCTCTTAGGGGCTGTCTGCACAGATACTCTAGTTTATAAGACATGTGCTAAGGTGAGAGCAGGAGCCACAATGGGACCACCGGAGAAACTC